ATAGGACGTTACACCTCAGGACTGCTGATAGTCTCAGGGTTGCTGATAACTCATAGCTGATTATTATGTTGTGTTGTATGTGATATTTTGGGGGAAATCACTAAACTTTGGCTTACAGATGTAGATTAAAAGTTTTTCAGGTACCATTGGTGATCTTGATAAGGCGAAGGTGTGACTGTACACACCCATCAGCAGCATTGGGAATTCCACATTTATTACATTACTTTGATTTTCAAACAATTGTATTTTGGAACAAATGAATTTTCTTAACTTGGGTTTTATGAAAATGATGTTTTACCTTAATTAAAAATGAAAACATTCATTAGTGAAAATGGGACACTACACATCTAAGTGACTTAAACTCATCTTGACCATTTTCATGAAGTCACAACTTCATAAACTTATCAAATTCTTCTAAATGACCATTTTTCCTCTTGTGGTCAATATTGAACTAAAAGTCAAATCTCTCTAAATTTTGGATTCTTACACCTATGGTTAGAAAAAATAATATGAATAAGGTCCAAAATCTTTTGAACTTGCATAGATAGTCCAAAATCAGAGCTTTTGTGGTTTTGTCCTTGTTAAATATGAAAAGATCGTTTTATCCTTTTTATTTCGTTTTTACTCCTTTTTCATTTTATTTAAATATTTTAAAGTGTTTTAATTAATTAGAAATAAAAATAGGCCCCACCCAACTCAAGCCCACCTCTCTCTCTCTCTCTCTCTCTCTCTCTTACACACGCTTCCATCATCTTCCTTTCATCAGCTATAGCCCATAAGGTTCTTCATCGGTTCCATCAACTATTCCAAAGAAACCCTTCAATTGCAAAATTGATCTAGAGAAACCTATGATTTAAGAATCAAAAGACTCCCTGAATGATCAATTTATTGAAACGATTTTGACTTGGCATCTGGTCAGTATACACCTGAATCGAAGACTTCTTGTCGTCTTTCTCACACGTATCAACACACACATAGACACCCCATAAGTATCAATGATTTGGAGGTGCTTGAGAACTTCGGTTTTGATTTTTATAGGTTTTGCGTTTTCTGGGTTTTGAGGTTCTTGAAAGCTTCGATGAACACACAATCATAGATTATATTTGACAAAACTGCAAAAATGGTCCCTGTGGTATGCATTTTTTTGGGGTATTAGTCCAAACGTTGACTTTTTTGGATTAGTGGTCCTTTTGGACTAGTTTGTATGTGAAAATGGTCCCTGTGAAAATTGAAATGACTATAATACCCTTGGGGTATTTATTTTTCATTTTCTCTCATTATTCTAAAATCTAATACTATTTATTTAATTATTTTAACAATTAAAAAATAATAAAGGACCCACCTCTCTCTCTCTCTCTCTCCTGCCTATACGAAACCATTTCCCAGTTCATCTTCTCCAATCAAAGAACATGATTGCAGCCCCAAAACATTAATTATGTTCATAAAACAAAAATGATGGAGGCCTCAATCAAACTGATTAGATAAATCCAAGATTTTTAACTGGGTACTACTCATGGATAATACTTTAACTCCACAAACCAACTTCTGGTTCTTAACAACAAACCCCTTATAGCTTTGAATTCGAAGGCAAAATCAGAACTTGGTTATGCACAGATAACGAAGGCAAAATAGAGTCCTCACAAAGTAGCCTAACAACAATAACACCAGTAGACGACATCAGAGGAGGTATAATCGAAATCAGAGACCAATTCTTCCTTATCCAAGACTGTTGATCGATCAAAAAGGAAAACGAAAATAATGAGGGGGAAAATCGGACATACAGGGGTCGCAAGAGGTGACGGGGCTGGTCGGAGATGACCGACAGAAGCAACAGCTGACGATGACGGTGGTTCACAGCAGCGGCGACGATGGTGGCAAGGGCTGCTCCGACGGCTTCTACTGCTTCGTTTTCTCGTTTTTCCGGTGAGCTCGATGAGAGGGAGGGTAGGGAAGAATGAGGACTGTGTTCGGTGGTGATTTTTAATCAAGAGAGAGAGAGAGAGAGAGAGAGAGAGAGAGGGGGGGAGAGGTATAAGGTGGGTATCGGTGGTGGTGGGTCACGACTGGAAGGTGGTGTTGGGTGGTGTCCGATGGTCACAGCAACCGCAATGGAGGTGGTGATTGGGTACAAGAAGAAGACACAAAATTTTCATAAGTTAGACAAAATTGTTGTTTACTCCAAGGAGAGAGAGAGAGAGAGAGAGAGAGAGAGAGAGAGAGAGAGGCCCATTTTATTATTAATAAAACATTAAATTAAATAGAAAAAATATAAAAAAATATATGAAGAGGGCAATTTAGTCATTTCAATTTTCACATGGACCATTTTTACATACAAACTAGTCCAAAAGGACCACCAATCCAAAAAAGTCGGGGTTTGGACTAAAACCCCAAAAAAATACATACCACAGGGACCATTTTTGCAATTTTGTCATTATATTTAGTTCAAAGTTGGTTTTAATTCTTTTGAGTTTTATGTTGTGTCTTTGAACTTTCATTCACTAATTGGTTTAGTTCAAAGTTAGGTTTAATTTGATTAAATGGAGTGTAACAAGTTCACAGGTTCAAAGTTAGGTTTCTGAGTTTAGTTTAAAGCTTTATTTCACAATTTTTTACCATCGATTTGCAAGTATCTATGTTTATCATTGTGTGTGTATGTTGAAGAAGATGAACACAAAAAACGAATTCGTGTCGATGGTATGTGAATACGAAAACGACCTAAATTTCAACTTTTTTCACAAAGGTTTGAAGATTGGGAATGTGGGGTTCTACAGAATTTTTTCAGCTTTATTTTGTGTTCATGATCTTCCTCAACATCCATCTTCGATTTTTTTTTGTTTGAAGATTTTGATTTTTTTCAACTTTCTATTAGGACTACATTACTATTTGGTTTGCTTTTTGATGTTGCTCATGAGAGAGAGAGAGAGAGAAAAAGAGAGAGAGACTATTTTATTTTAATTTTATAACACTTTAACATATTTAAATAAATAAAAAAAGAAATAAAAAATAAAAAGGGATAAAACGGTCTTTTCATATTTACCAGGAACCATAACCACACAAAAAATATGATTTTGAACTAAATTTACAGTTTATTCTTTTTTATTAAATAAGGTTATGAAATAACAAATTTTAATAACATTATCATAAAAAATAATTTTTTATTTCTTTTAAACAGTTATAAAGTTAATATGTATGTCGTGAAAAACGTTTTTACAAACAATAGTATACATGTTTTTTAGAACTACAAAAACTAATAGGAAGCTAGAAAAATACTACAAATTACATGAATACGAGAAAATATCAAATGTAAATAGTAGCGACGAGCAGTGCTCATGCATACTATTCTTTCATAATAGTGATATACACTGCTTGATAGCAGCGATGAACATTAATGAGTTAATGCTCATGAATAGTACGAATAACAATGTTATTATAAGGGTTTTTAAATGAAAGAGAAGGTGTGACCGACATTGAAAATCAATTTAGCCTTTAAAAATCAATTAAAATTACAGAAAGAAGGTGTGAAATTGTAAGGGTCATTAAATGATGCAGAAGAGGATGTGACATTACTAAGGTCATAAAAGTGATGCAGGAAGAGGGTGGAAGTACAGGGAGTAAGTTGCGTTCGTTATGATTAATATAAGAGTAAATTACAAATTTGTTCCTTACGGTTTGACCCAATTTGTATTTTTAGTCTAATTTTTTATTTTTTTGGTATGATTGGTCACAGTGGTTTTCAAATCTGACCCGGTTAGCTTCTGAAATGCTCAGTTAAAGGCCTGCAGAAAGAGTATTATATCCCTCCTTTTAATTTTTATGTTATTTTAGAAATTGTTTTAAATTAATGGACTGTTTCTATAAAAAGTGGAAAATTAATTAAAAGCCTAAAGACTAAAGAGTCACCATCACCGTCGACTATCTCCCTTTTCCGTCGATGCTCTACAACTCCACCCTCAAGCTCTTTGCGACTCTGTCTCTCCTACCACCGCTCTACTCCTCCGATCACCTCTCCTTCTTTTTTAGCACTATGGTCTACCCTGCCTTCCAGATCTGTCCAACACGACGTCGCTCTGGTCACAACTTGTCATTATTGTCGCCGGTTCCTTCTCCGACCTTGAAATACTCTTCTACCACTACATTTAAAAGACAATTTCATGTGGATTCATGTGCTGGATTTTAGACAATTTCATGTGCTGGATTTTAGACAATTTCAGATGGATGTTTGCAGATTTGGTGTATAATTCAGAAGGGAAACCGCTTCACTCTACTGCTACACTCACATGAGTTGTAGTCGATATTTGTACCATCATTGTTAGAATCTCCCTATTCGTCGAACGTCTAATCCATTAAGCCAGCAAAGTCTGTACTTATGTTTTTCCTTATATGCGAAATGGGGTTTGATTCACAATTCCGGAATTTGAGTGAGAAAGAACAGAATATGAAAACAAATTCCAACCTGTTTGGTGTTCTTGGTCTAGGTTCAAATCTGATTTCATGAGAAATACTACCATTTTTGAAAACTCAGGGAGATTTTTGACGAAGAATATCAAGTGGGCCGGAGGGTGTTGAAGAAGACGATGGTGAGTGATGGTTACAATATGTATGAAGGAAGAAATTAAAAGGAAGGGGCTGCAATGGGATAGGAGTTGTTCTAGGAACAGATGTAATTGGTTAAGGTGCTGATTGTGATCGACGACGGTGGTGATGGTGGTCATTGGTTATTCGTGGTGGTAATGGTGGCGGGTTGATTGTGACCATTTACAAAAGTGATCCTTATAATTTACAAAAATGATCAAATAACGGAAAAGACAAATTACGGGTATAATAGTCTTTTACTTCTGACTTAACATGTAAAGACTAGTACAAGATTTGGAAACATAAAGACTAGTCATGTCAAAAAAAAAAAAAAAAAAAGTTGGACTAAAACTACACATTGGAAAACCAGATGGAGAAAATCTGTAATTTACTCTTAATAAAATCTACAAGGGATTGGATCTTCTCTTTCTACTCACCCAGTCATAGTACACGCTATTTTGGGGTTCCCTTTTTTCCCATTTTTGTGTAAAGAATGGAAGAGGTGGGGCTGGTATCATTCATACGAGCAGCATGGATCTTTGCTACTTTTCCAGTTGCCGTAGCCTGTTTCCCATTGCCTGGGCTTGGTTGGTTTCGCACAGCTCTATTGGGGATTGCCAAAAGAGGCAAGATTGTGCAATCCAAATCTGTAAGTGAAACATGTGCAATTTCTAATAATAGTAATAAACTATATAGTCATCCTTATATATTTATATCTGATATTTCTCTTTTTATGCATTTCAGAAACTAACTGTGCCTCAGAGATTCTTCTTTCACTTTTACGTGGTGGGGGTTTTGTGGACGACAATCTTGCTTGTTTCAGTGTGGTCTTATGCAATGAGAGAACATGTATACAACGTTTGGCTATCTGTGTTTCTCCTTCTTCTCATGGAAGTTCAAGTTTTACGACGCTTCTATGAGTCGATCTATGTTTTTAACTACAGTCCATCAGCTCGAATGCACATCTTTGGTTATCTTGTGGGGATATTGTAAGTTTCTTCACATATCTGAAACGTAACAGCCCCGATTCTCAAGATTCTTTGCTAATATATTCAACTGATCTTTTTTTATAAAATAGTTTCTATGCACTGGCTCCACTCTCGCTATGCTGTAATTTTGCACCTCAAGTCTTTGACTTTGTCAGTGGAAGGGTTCACATGTCAAGGCCTGGATTTGATAATATATGGATGTTTGTGACTCCTTTCTTGATGCTTCCATGGTATGCGTGGATAGGTGGTGCAATTTTCTTATGGGGTTGGGTCCATCAGCTTCGTTGTCATCAAATCCTTGTAAGTTTTTTCCATTTTGAAGAAAAGTTATATACTTTGTTCTTGTTGTTTTAACATTGTGATAATTAGGGTTCCTTGCGAGACAAAACCGAAAAGCTGGAGGAATACGTTATTCCGTATGGAGATTGGTTTGAATACGTGTCGTCTCCACACTACACGGCTGAAATTGTAAGTATTTCATGTGTGTTCTATAACCTCCGTTTTTCAACATAAGAAGGAAAGCTCAAATTACAAGCAATTAATGTTGATGATGAAGGTCATCTATGGTGGTCTTGTGGTGGCTAGTGGTGGTGCAGATCTCTCGTTGTGGTTGCTTTTAGCATTTGTGGTATGTTTTTTACATTGCCCTCGCACCTGAATTCAATATAAATTCAAAAATTTCACCCTATCTGATATATATCTTGCAGGTGGCAAATCTTGTTTTTGCAGCAATAGAAACACAGATATGGTATCGCCATAAATTCGACAATTACCCTCGCAATCGATGTATTATTTTCCCGTTTGTTTATTAGTGACTTGAACTTTGAAGATGCTTGTGTGTGTTGTTCGCTTGGACCATCTTATGCATCTGTGTGTTGTTCGCTTAGACCTCATTTAATTTAGAGAAAATAATGTCATTTGTCATCTATTTCTCACTCCATATCGACATATAAACATATATTTTATAAAGCTATATTTATTTCTATTTCTTTTTCGGATGTTAAAATATCGTCACGCCATTTAACTTATTCATTCAATCTATATTTTATTACATTAATTAAATCTGGACGTTAACAAATAAAATCTTAGTTGTATACTTGATAAAACATAATCAATACAGATTTTTTTATAAAACTTAAAAAAAACTTAGAGGGTGTTTAGGATTACTTATTTGAAGTGTTAATTGTCCTATTAACTTATTCCGTTTGGCACCAGCAATAAGTAGTTTTTTGTGTTTGGATAAAAATATTTTATAAATATTTATTGACTTAAATAAGGAGTTTTTAATAAGTCACTTTTTTACTTAAACTAATTTAATAAGGTTTTTGATAAGTTGTTTTATTCTTACACAAAAAATAAAAGTGCATGAAACACTAAAAATAACTTATCAATTTATTTCCTTTTGATATCGAATAAATTAATCCAAATATTTTTTCTAAAACTATGTTTTAACACCGAATTAATTAATAAACACATTTACAATAAACAATCTTAAATACCCCTTATGCAAAAAGTTTTCAAAACTAACATATTTAATATTGGTCTCATTATGAAGGTATTCGTTTCCTCTAAATCATAATAAATACTATTTATCCGATTTTCATTAAGTATTTAGAAAAATAAAACAAAATTACATATCGCTCTTGAATTGTAGGAAATGTCATAATCATAGCTTTGGTCATAGTAGGTTTTAATTATATGAATATATTTTTGGTCTCTGAAATTTTTAATTTTTATGTTTTTCAAAATTTAAATGTATTTATGGATTTATCTAATGTACGATTTTGCCCGCTGCGTGTTGCGGCGACTCCAAGCCGTTTTATAAATTTATTTTAACGATTATATTGATAAAAGTTATGTATTTTTGTATTTGTTGATAAATAAATATATAAGATCGGTGTCGAATGAAAACGTATGTGTGAGCAAATTCATACATAGGAAACGTGTCTAAAAATAAGCATGAAAATTAAAGAAACTGAAATTTATACCGAAGCATACATAAAAGTAATATAACGACCTAAAAATAGT